TAAACACAAATAGGTTTTGGCATGAAACTGTCTAAATGTTGCTTTGTGTGTGTGTGTGTGTGTGTGTGTGTGTGTGTGTGTGTGTGTCTGGAGGACGTAGCCAGATGTAACAGCTCATATGTCGGGAGTTGTGTTGACAGGAAACTAATTAGTTTTTCTCTCCAACAGGAGACAAAGATCGACTGTGTTCGAGTGGCCACTAAAGGTGAGACACTGTTCTGACTTTTATTTTGAAATGTGCTGAATATTTTTAACCGTTATGGTGTTGGGTCTTCTTTTCAAGTGAAGCTGCTGTGTTTATTTTTGAAAAGCTGAGTAAACATTCTGATTTATTAAAGGTCAGATTTTATTACCTGACTAGTTTTAATGTTTCAGTCTTTGCAGTTCACTAATGTTTCATTTTCTAACAGGCCTTGGTATTTTACTTTGAAAGGTCTTGCATATTATTATAATTGAAGGAAATGTAGTTTGTTAGGGTTTAGTGTCAGTCATGCTGATGACTTTAATCTGCAGTGTATTTTTTCAGAACATAATGTRTTCTTCATCAGATGTGAAAAACGACACAAACACATCCTCAATATTTAAAAATGTTTTTAAATCTTTATTAAGCTTCTTTTGACTGGAAGAAGCTGGGAAGTCTGGTTGGACCTGGTTTTTGATGCTTGACTTCTGGTCTGGATTTTACTGCTACTTTAGCTGCGAGGCAGTGAGGTGGCAGCCAATGAGACACAGATGGCCGTTAGCTGCTGGAGCRCTAAGCTAATGGCTAGCACATTGGTCCCATCCAGAAGTATAATGGCACACAGATGGCTGCTCATGGCTGACATCTGTCCTCGACTTTGTCTGTCAGTCGTTCAGCAACAGGAAGAACCGTCCTCTGCAGATCCACACAAACACRAGTGGAAAAACAAAGAAACTCAGCTTCATGTGGCGCCAACGCTAGGCTAACTGTAGCCTAATGACTAGGACTGTATGAGTGTCTGGAGAGCAGTAACACCTGAGCTAAACCAGCTAAAACACAGTCCTCTCCCCTGATGAACATCTAGGATTATCTTCACACACACACACACACACACACACACACACACACACACACACACACACACATAGAAACTTGTCTGCATCTATTTTTTTTGCACAGTCGTCTCAGAACACATGCTCGTTTACACAAACATGCAAACACACATGTTGACACACATATTTATCTCCACACACACACACACACACACACACACACACACACACACACACACACACACACACACACAC